TTAAGTGAAATGAATTGGACACACATGTTTAAATATCACAGTTTCTCTTGTGTGAGAAACCAAAAGGATAAATAAGGACACAGATAGATATTGAGAAGTAGGAAGAAAATGTTTAAATGGAGGGGGGAAGTGAAGGAAGGGAAAAGGGAAAAAAGGAAATAGGAGGAAAAATCAAAACAAAGCTTTTCTAAATAAGGAGGGCAAGAAGGGTTGAAGAGAGGGGAGGGGAATAAAGTAAAAAAGAATCATGATATGTTATGTACAGGTACACATTCCCTATGATGAATGTGATCAGTATGTATATCTAAAGTGTACCAATAAAGTCAATTTAAAACAAAATAAAGCTTTCCTGCTTTAAATTGTGGGTACCAGGTAATATATCGTAGCAACACGAAAGCAACTAAGACATATGGTAAGAATAAATCTTTTATGAAATTGTGAAGAAGAAATTTTACTAGTTTGATGGCCACACCTTAAACTGCAAAAGTTATGACACTGTGCATGATATATACTTCTTTAGAATAGAAAAGGCATTAAATTATAAAGTTTGGTGTTATCCATGGTTTCAAGCATCCACTGGGGTCTTAACATGTGTTCTGCATCAATAAGGAGGACTACTGTTTTAGAAACGATCTTTGGCAAAATTCTTATAGAGGAAATGCTCCATAGATTCTAATTCATTTTCATTGTTATTGCAGTTGCAGGAAGTAGACAGACTGTTAGTACAAAAGTGTGAGTCTAGGATACAGAATTCATGGAATGCTAAATCCAGAGGAGTTACCAGGATTTGTCTCTGCAATACACTTCCTATAATCTGTGCCTCTGCAAACTCAGTAGACAATTTTTAGTTGTACTGTGTAAACTGATGTAGCTTAGTAATAGCATATTCTTTGCTCTGAATATCCCCAGATTTGTATCCTTGGTGGCTGGCCTGTATGGCCTATACCAACCAGACTCATTTCCCTCTGTTTCCCAGTTGTATTTGGGCACAGGCTGGAGATTGGAGCAGGAGAAAGAGCATAGTTTATTTATTTCATCCAAACCTTCTCTCCTACTAACATTTCTTGGTAATAGTTAAGTTTTTCTACAGTCTTAGCATCTACTGGACAAAACTATTCCACGGCTCTAGATTTCACTATGTTCCAATATTATGATTCTATTTTTTAACCTTTGCATTATACACTGTTGTTTCCCTTAATTCTGCTCATATCCTTTAAATATACTCTTCATTCGACCTATTCAGTTAAACCCTTTGGATACAATGCTTGTTTCCTGCTGGGACCCTAACCACCACTCTGGAATATCCAGGCAAACTGCCTAGGTGTTGTTTGTCTCTTAGCTGGGGAGCAGGAACAAATTAAAGCAAGGCAACAAGTGGACTCACTACCAAGGGTTTTCCTTAATTCTAGGACTTTGGTTTTGTCAGACACCAAGATCTTTGTCTAGATTCTTATCTTTTTGCTTCCACATTTTAAAATCTGGGCTCAATCCTTCTTTAGTTTTTTCACCCAAACTTCTGATATCTACCAACTAGGATTCCAGTCATACCTGTTTGCTCTCTCACTCTTTGGAATTAATCTCTAACTTCTAATTCAGACCTGCCAACCTTTTCTCATTTAGCTGATACAATGGAGTGGTGGATAATGCATGTTTTGAGCCAGACAGACTTGTGCTTCAATTTCAGCTTTGACATTCCCCAGCTGGAACCTCAGTTTTGTCACCTGTAAAATGATGATGAGTAATGCCTACTCTCTAGGGGCATCATTAACATTAAACAAGTATAATGCCTACCTCATTGGGAAATAGTCAAAATCAAGTGAGATTAGATTTACTAAGTAAATGCTCAATAAATAGTAATTTTTTTTTCTCCTGGGCAAGTCAGCCAGGGTAATCCACAGGGCTGAAATCTGCCTCTTTTCAATTTTCAGTACCACAAAATATCTGATATTTGCCATTTTTAGTAATAATAAATCATTTTACATATTTGTGGAGTACCTTTCCAAGAAAGTATAGCTCTTTGCTGGAGAAACACATGTTTCTATAGAGCAACAAGTGAATGAGCATTCAGACTAGGAGGATCTGCTGTATTCTCAAGAAGCAGTGTTCAGTAGAACCCAGTTTCAAAGGAAAAAATCCAATTTGATGAGTAAGATGTGTCCACTTTGAGGATACAAATCTAGTGTGCTCATTTACTAGTGTAGGGAGGGAAATGTTTGAGACTGACTCCCTCGGAAAAGATAAGCATAAATCACAAAGGACAACTTGAAAACCTCTGCTCTGAACTTATTCGATAATGAAAACGTTTGGTAAACATACAATTCTTGTGGTTGCCAATAGGTCCAACTCAAAGCTGGGATATGATTAAAGTTCTGAATATCTTAATGAATGCTTATTTATTCCCTTTCTCCACTTGTTGCTATGCCTCTTAGTGCAAAAGCGTAGATTATTGTGGAATAACTGCTCACTCACTTGTGTTGAAATTGTCTGCATTACAGCAAAAGTGTAGTTTGGAGACCCAAACCAATGACACATATGTCAACAATCAGCCAATATTAGGAGAGAAACCATATTCTTGCAGTGATCCACCTTAATAAGATGTGCTGGAGAAGCTGTTGCTTTCAGAAAAACTGCCTAAAATTTGCTCCTAAAATTTCAACGAAATAAGTAGTCTGACTATGCCCGTGGTGTCTGTGTTTTGCAGAGTGAGGGAGTCCTACCAGTGAGAGAACTGTTGCATTTATAGGCCCTAGAGGATGAAGACAGTCTCTCAAATCTTTTTAGATTTCCTGTTATATGTTGAACTCAACCTTGGGCCTCTGAATCCTCTAAGAGAAGCAGAAGACATAATCTGTGCTCTTAAGGAGCCAGAGGAGGCCGTCATATGAGCTGATCAACAAATATCACAGGGCTCTATGAAATGAGAAGCTACAGTAAATGAGATAGACACAAAAAACTCCTAGAACCTTAAAGATGGAAGGAGTCGATAAACACTCACAGGAGGTACCCAATACATACTTCTTGATTAGCTGGAAGAGAGAGAAAGAATAATAGAAAGGGATTTCATGGAATACTGAGTTATGGAGTCTGAAGATAGAGCAATTAAAAGTCAATAGAAAACACAGAAAACGTTAGGTCAAGGGTAGGGCCACGGGTGGGAGTGTCTACTGGGAGCAGCAAGTTCATTTGGAAGAGTCCAAACAACTTTTTTATCCCAAGGGATGAAGCTCAGAAGAGAAGTGATCAATTTCTGCAAGCTCTAGGGTTGTCCTGGCTCTAAGTTGAGAGCAGAGAAGTCCAGATGGACTGTGGTGTGGTGTGGGGTTGGGGGTTCAAGTTTAGATTTAGCAACAACCACTGGATTTCATAGTATTTACTTCCTTCCAGCTCCCATTGAAAAGAGACTGCAGGAGGTAGGACACTAACACTGCAAGCTCCAAATCCCCACTCATCTCTGTTGAAGCCAGGATGAATGGCAGAGACTGCTTCCAGTTCACTAGTTTTTCTCACTCCCATGATTCTCAGAAAGATAAGAAATATGAGTGGAGATTGTGGTAAGTGTGGACACCACAGCACAGCCCCCCAAAATGCCAAAGGATAGTTTCATCTTCATTCACTTTATTTTCCCACCGACCTATTTCTGGGAATTTTTCAGACTCTGCGGTTGAATACAATATAGAAATCTGAAGGGTGACTTGTTGTAACAAATAGAAATGAGCCATCTTGTCTCCAAATCCACAAAAGACTACTAAATCCTGGAAGAAAATGGATCAAATGATAACATCATCGAGGACAGAGCTTTATGTTTCCTCTATATCCCTGTAGCAGAGCACTGGCACGTAGTAGGTTCTCAAGACATACCTATACATTGGCACAAAGAGATTAGAATCCTCTTCCTTTACACTAAATGACTATGTAGAATAACACAAGAAGACATTATGTTTAGAGTTTCCTAAACTGTGTTTTGATAAAGGCCATGAGAAATATTTAGAGGTTGTTGTAAGGACAGAGGCAGGCTCCAGGGCCTCCCTCAAATGTATGCGCTGCACTTTTTTTCTCTATATCTGCTGAGCTTCCATACAAGATTGTGGACTTCCTTAAACAAGATTGAAAACCACTGTTAGAGGCAAACACAGTTCAGGGTATGGATTAAATATAGAGAGAAGTGGCAAAGGACTGAACTCAAAAGTGATAGTAAGTTCTAAATGTTGTAAAGCCTGGTGACATGTTGCAGTGGAAGTTGTTGCAGTGGAAGCTTCAGAAGTGGGCTGAGTTAGAGTATGGTACTGAAGTGGAGAAACTAAGAGATTGGGCTGGATGAAATGGGAAAAGAAGTCTGCTAGCTCCAAATCTCCACTTATCTCCAGCAGAGCAGAAATCCACAGGATGAGTGGAGGAGTCTGACTCTAAGTGATCTTTGGATTGGTCACTTTGTAAAAACTAAAGGGAAATTCACTCTGAAGTGATATAAGATAGAGGAAAACAATGTACTGAAACAAAATACACAAGGTATCATGAAGGGTTTTTCTATCTGATTTTGTGTATCTTTTAAATTTTTGTATAATAACTCATTATAAGCTTTTATGTGGCTTTCCGTACCTTAGAACCAGTCCCCCATCTCCAATCAGAGGTCCTCTAAACCCACAAGACCTAATTCTTTTTTTTGTATAGGGGAAAGAATTTGGGTCCTTGTGGTTGGGAGGCAGGCAGTGGAACCACTGAGCTAAATCACCGGCCCAAGACCTAATTCATTTGCCTAAGATACCAATGGATTTTTATGGATGCACATGGTTCTCCACCTCATATCCATTTGACTTAGGCTGCCTTCACCTGAGTTCATGGGTGACTATTTGACCACTGCCCTTGAAATCACACCACACATATCTCACTACTTGACCCCAAGAATACTTGCATAAGACAAGAAGTCACTAAGGCCCAAGTACCTGAGTTATTAGACAGAACCTGGAGGATGATATTAAAAATGCTTCTTTGGATACACTCACCGGAATCCCATTGATACCAAGAAAGCCAGGAACTCCCATGGAACCCTAAAAGAAGGAGTAGGAAGAGGAGTGTAAGACACATCTAGCTGGTGGTCTTTGGATTCGGTCCGTTTATGGGATTCAAAGACCTAAGTTTTTAACAAGCATTTTGTATCCCCTCTCTTTGGGTTGCCCTTGCTCCCTACTCCACCTCCAAGAAATCATTTGCTTCTGCACAGGGCCTTGGACATGTCTATGTTCTGAGACCAGTTCTTAGGCAATGTAAGTCCTAAAATTAAGGCTCAATATCATGTGCTTCCTTGATATTACGAGAAAGCTAGGAGTACATTGAATACCCTAACTATACATATCCTCTCCATTCTGCTCCTTTAGATGAGGTCCTTTAGGCAAACAAGTGTCCTTACCAAATGGAGCAGGAGTAGTTCTTTCTTATCCTTGAATAGCTGTTTTAATTCCCTGCTGGAACATCAAATTATTCACAAAGCCAGATCACATCTATCTTCAGGAACCAGAGGTACTCCAACCTCTTGATATTACAAAGTATGCCAACCATAGCCTCTTAATTCACTCTGTTCCTGATTGCAATGTTGGAGTGACCTTAAAAGTGTACAGTATCCTCCTACCCTGAACTGAGTATAAATTGTGACCAATAAATTACTATCAACTTCATCTGTCTAGTGTTAGGGGTTGTGCTATCTTTATTATCCCAGTGTGAGAATGCCTCCTTCACCAATAAGATTAACAGGAAGTGGTTAGAAAAGGCCTAAAGGTGTAGGGAAAGTGGGAAGGGTAGGGGAAAGGTAATAAGGGAAAAGAAAAAAATATGAGAAAATGAAAAAATGAAAAAAAAGTGTTAGTAAATGGGGAGGGGAGGAGTGGGTGAAGGGAGGGCAGGGACAAGGGGAAAAATGAGAACCAAGACCTGTCATGTAAAGGTACAAGATCCCAATGTTGAATGTCACTGTACTGTATACCTAAAATGTACCAATAAACTCAATTTAACAAAATAAAATAGGCAGGGAATATAAACTGAGCTGCTAAACTCAGTTGGTTAGCCACCACGACATTATCACTTTCCTTTCTTGCACCTCTTTCCTCTATTTGTGGTCCAGATTGCTTCTAAGCACTCTGATCTCTTGCTTACTAATTTTTTTTTAATTCTTGGTCTCTATTGCTCAGCTGACTGGAATTCTGACTCATGCCCAGTTCAAAGCCACATGACTTACCACAGGGAGCCTACCGTCTGGAAAGTAGTTAATGCATTCATTTTACAATTTGCTTGCCATGAAAGTCTCTTGATAAATGGGGATTATCTCTCATCAAAGTGTGTAGCACGGCCCCAAACTATTCAGGAACAATATTGTTTTCATAAATAAGCAGAATTGAGATTGACAGCTTTTGACTGTCATACGTGCACCCATGCACTACAGAAAAATCAAGCTTTTGCTGATCTTACCTTATCTCCTTTTGGTCCATATGGGCCAATAGGGCCTGGGGAACCCTTTTTTCCTTTCAACCCTGATAAACCAGTAGGTCCAGCAAATCCTTTAGGACCTGTGGGACCTTGAATTCCAATTGGTCCAGGTTTCCCCTAAAATGGACAAAAGAGTATAATTAGTCAATAGAGGACTTAATATCAACATTTCCCATTTTCCCATGCACAAAGAACACTGTCACCACTTCATTAAATAATTTTGGCTTAGAGATCTGTGAGGCATGCCAAAGTTCCAGACATGGATCAGAAAAGCTATTTTAGAGACTGCTAAGCTTATTTGGATAGAACACATTTTATAAGCACATTTAATAAGATTCATGTGCACCAAGATCCTTCAACTTTGTACTTCTTAGGAGATTAGTCATTCAGGCTGGATAACACTGTCTTCTTCCAAGTTAATGCCAGGTCCTTCATCAGATTGTCAAAATGGCAAAAGAACAGAACACTGGAGAACATTAGGACATTTTATATCTGCAAATGGCCAACCACATGCTTGCAACGAAGTTTGGAAATAGCTGTGCCTAAAGAATATGGCCATGGGGGGCCAGAGAGGGGAGAACTCCAGAGCTGATCAACTTGTCAGAATTCATCTGTGTTGGCTGATCCCAGGACTTTATCTCTGCATCTGGCAACACAAAGGGAACTCTCTCTCTCTCTCTCTCTCTCTCTCTCTCACACACACACACACACACACACACACACACACACACACTCATACACAAATTGGTTACTTACTCTTCCTTCCCCTTACCTCCCATCTGTATAGTGTTGAACGAGTAAAATACAAGGAGCCTTAGAAATCTATTTAAGTGTCCATTAGGGTAGTAAGAGGGAGCAGCCTGAGGATTTTGAATACCATGGTTATAAAATGTCCCTAACAATTAAGTCTGAGAGTGCAGGCTGACATTTTAAAGCAGACTGAGACTGAAAATTAACCTCAGTGGGTGAAACACAGGCAGGTTGGACTGTCATTTAGAACAAAACCCAGTAGGGACTGAATTTTCTTGACAGAAAAATGAAAACCATTAGTAATGTACATTACCACTCAGAGAACAACACCATACGAGATAGAAAGCCTATTTTCATAAATGCTTCCCATCTCCACCTCCTGGCCTCTTTACTGACTACTTGTAATTGCCTACAAATCTGTGAAAACCTCTGCAAAAAGCCCATTAAACATGCCCTTTACTATTCACGTCAGAGTTTACTTTTTAAAAGGGTGAAAATAGAACACACGCATTTTACTGTGATAAGAGTCATGTATTAGAGGTGCAAGTGGCCATCAGTTGTTCCAGTCCTTTGGAGTATAATTTTCAGTAAAAAATCAAGTGCATAAAGACCTAAGATTCTTGCAAAGAAGTAAAAAATATTCTTTCTAAGGAGATACGCTTCTTGGGAGCACAACCTATTATTCAACATGCAGTCTACAAATAGTGCTAGGCTGCAAACTGTTTAAAAGATTTACTTCTGCGAATGATGGGGGAAGGGTAAGCATCCAATTTTTAGGCTTCTGTCACTGAATTTTGTTTACAATGACTTGGTTGTGTACTGTTCTTCTAGTTTAAAAACAATATGTGTGTATCAATATGTACAGTTTGTATATGCGCCCACGCCTGTGTATAAACTAAAGAGAAAAAGAGCAATACTTTCAAAAAAGGTGGTGTTGAGGATGAATGAGGATGTCAAAGTGGGTCTACTTTTGAAGACTGATGTACACAAGCCATGTTAAACAGTACAAGTCTGAAAGAGAGTGCAAGTACCGCAGGGACATAAAGGCAGACTGGCCACGGAGGTCTACAGAATGATTACATTGTGCCTATGGCTGGGGGGAGTCACGGGCCACATTGGGAAGGCCTAGTGAGCCCCAGTTGAAGTGGGCAAGGGAAGCTAGGCAGGAAGTTGAAGAATTGATGTGATAGGTCTGGAGAACCAGCTAGGAGAAAAGCAGTATTCAGGTCTGAAAGTCATCAAAGATCATTCAGGAGAATGCATGTGTGTGTCAGCAGGAGGCCAGGGCAGTGTGCCTGAGGCTGGAACAGAGGAGGCAGATAAGGACCAGGTGCTGCAGAGGAGATCATTGCTTGAAGGGAGGACAGGGGCAAGATGGGCCTGCCGAGGTGACATTATTATAAGTAGAGAAGATCCATTTGGGGCATTGAATGCTTAGCCCAAATCCGAGCCCTGAAAAAAGCTTTCCCACATCAAGAGGGGGAAGAAGGAAAGCATGACAAACCATTTGAACAGCTACTGAGAAAGTGGATTGTGATGTGGTCTAATTCTTATCCTGCTCACACCACTAGAGAAACTTGAGTTGGCCAACATGGGCACACAAGGTGACATATTCCACCTCTCTTGCTTTTATGATATTGCTAGGAATTGGTGAAACTTTTTCAAGAGCAAGTATAAGTAAGGAAACATAGGCCTAAGGTGATTCTAAGGCTGGACTTAACAAGAACTCTGGATTTCACCCAGCAAAGGCCTGCTTCCTTTCCTTTGGCTGGGTGGGAGTGCTGAATTCACTGTCTCTGCTCCAGCCAGAAAACCAAAAGTAAGTCATTTAAAGAATTCTTGGATTTAAAAAAACCAAATCCTTTCCAAAGGGTATATCTACAAAGGCATGCCTCAAACAAACATGGAGTTCTGAGGGTGGGTCCGGGTGTTTAAGCTTGCGGTCACATCAGTAGCTCAGTTTGGAACCTCTCAAACTAGCTTCAGGGAAGAAGCAGGGAACATGGGATGTTTTGAGCCTTCTGGGGGTGGGTGCTGCTAGGCTTGAACTGCCTGGTCATCGTAATATCAGGCCCTTCTAGAGTCTGCAGTTACATTGTAAGAGACAAGGAGCCTCCACACCCACTGAAGTCTTTTCCTACTGTAAAATAGAGTACCATAAGGAGGCCACGGGGGGGGGGGGAAGAG